TTTTGGGCTCTTCATTATGGCCACTTTTTCCAATTACCAGCTTCTAAAGGGTAAGGATTGAGTCTATGGGGCTCTTGTTCATTTTGCTCTTAGTTGAAATTATAGACTGGAATGTGCTATTTAAGTTCAGGAAGCAAAGTCATGAGCATATATTAGCAAAATTATGACACCTAATGTTCTTTGTCAGAAGCCGAAGGAGAATATTTCAAACATCCCAAGAAGACAGCTGCTGCATTTGTAGTCAAAAGGAGTGATGGGAATGGGTTTGGCAGCTCTTCGATTCATTTTCTTCATTTTCTGTGTACCTCCTTTCCAGTCTCTGAATCTTAATCTTATTTCTGCCTCCATTTCTACCTTACTTCATGCTAGAATATGTACTGCGCTTTCATGTGAAGCCTGGATTGCAGATAAAACCAGACTTCTAATCATGCTTAATGACCTAGCACCCCAACATTATACCTGAAGTTCATATCTATTGTGCCCAGAAATCTGACTTTCTAAGGAGTATGTATAAACAACAACAATCTGTCTGTGATTCTTGATAATTAATCCAGTGTTCTACTCATCAGGCAGCAGTGTTAACAGGACCTAATTCTTTCTTTGCCTAAATTGCCAGGCATGGCTAATAATGGTTTTACTAAATTTAATTCATTTTAATTAATTAACATTTTGGCGTCTATGCATTAATAAATTTCCTAGGCATTTACCATATTAATGTTTTATGATGAACCATCATGTCAATATTCTGTCTGAAATGTTTAAATAGCCTGGATCTCTGAATGCATTGTTAGCTTTACTTCATGATGCATTATTTAAGATGTTGGTTTTTGAGATTGAGAGAAGTCGATTACAGGCTCATGGAGTGTCTTTTAATACAAGCTTTTAGTTTGTATTTCTCTGTGGATTAAGACAATTTAGGAGACAATTTATTAGAATAAAATAAACACTAAATATTATAGTTAATAATTATCAACAATTCTAGTACTCAAGTTCTGCAAGGAGTCATTTTTGTCTTATTACTTGAAATAGTGGTCACTAAATTTGTTTTTTCACAGAAAAAGCCAGGTTTCTTTTGTCAGATACATAGAAATCATGTACTTCAACTTGCATTTTACAGGTGAAAAAAGAAAAGAAAAAGGAAGAAAAAACAAGGAGCATAAAGAGGGAAAGATCTTCCAAGTGAGACAGTATTATAACTAAGAGAAGACATCAAGCTCTCTAAGTGTTATAAAATTAATTTTGCCCCAGACCCTAAAATTCGTATGTTGAAGCACTAACCTCCAATGTCACTATATTTGAAGACAGGAGTTTTGAAGAGGTAATAAAGGTTAAACAAAGTCATGAGTTGGGTCCTAATCCTAAGGACTGAAGTCCTTATATGAACATCAGGAAAAAAAATGCACAGAAGAAAAGTCATGTGAGGACACAGTGAGAAGGCAGACATCTGCAAACCAGGAAGAAAGAGCTCACGATAAACCAACTCTGCTGGCACCTTCATCTTGAACTGCTAGTCTCCAGAACTGCGAGAAAACAAATTTCTATTGTTTAAGCCACCCATGCTGTGGTATTTTGTTAGGGCAACCAGAGCTAATATACCACGTTTCTGCTCAAAGTTCTTCTGTAACCATATACTGCTACTTCTGTGGTTAACGAAAAGTATATCTTTTAACTATGACATACATCATTCTATAGGTGTCATAAGGGCTGATCTCTTCTTAACATAGTAAAATTAATTTTAAAATCAAATAGTGGTAGTGAAGGGAATATTTGGCAAGTACTGTGTCCCTTCTCTATGCTCAGAGCCTGGCACAGACGTTGTCTCAGAGCTAGTGCTAACCTACCTAAGGACCTCTTCCCCCCTTCTTTTCAAAAGTACTCTTAGAAATAATTGTTACTTTACAACTTCATCTGAATAATCCTTTTATATATTATCCCTGGAAGACAATGAGTTGTATCACTTTCTCTTGTCTATTTACAATGCAAAATTCTTCTCAGGTTCTTGACCAATGGCTAATAAGACCTGGAGCTCAAGGCTACTGCACATTTTAAAAGTAAGAAAAAAATAGCTTAACACTTCAGCAAAATTCTTCATTGTAAGCATAATACAGGTGAAAATAAATTATTTTGTTTGAGGAGAACTGGTGGTATACGTTCTGTGTTCTTTGTAGGTTGTGAATATCACTTCAGGCATGAGAGAGCTACAAACTTGAATAATGATATTAGCAATATTTGCTAAATTATCGCATTTCGTGAATAAAATCCCCTCAATAGTTATGTAACATTAATACTTGGTGTTTAAGACTTTTTTGAGAATGATAAAATTTTTAAAACTACAGTAAAGACAGAAATCCTAATTTTACATCCCATGGTTTGATTTTGATACAAAACAATGACTGTGGCTCTGGCACAGAAATCTCTAACCTTGTCGAATGTGATTGCATTCAAACTACATTAGAAAAGTTATAAAATGTGATAAATTGTATTTGATGCTGCTCAGGTATTTGAGTCATAGAGATTGCATGACCCTTTCAGGTTTCTTTCAGCTGTAAAGATATAAAATGTTTAGCTATGGATCTTTTATTTGACTCCACTTGAAATTTCAGTTGGGATTTCCTAGCAATCCTTCGTCTTTAATGCAAACATTGTTTTAGGAAAAGACATTAGAATTACTGAAGTAAAATATTCTAGGGCAGTAGTGGCAAAAGATAAATGTGATGTTTTTGGGTAAGTTAGTGGTGCTTAGTTAATTAGTTACAATTTTTTATCATTTCTCAATAAGTCTAATTATTAATATTACAGTCTATTTCCAAAGTTGGCCTTTGTATGTTTTCTGTGCCTGGGATACTCTTCCAGGCACTTGACAGGGTTGCCTCATGGTCTTTCAAGACCTAGTTTAAATGTTACCTCTTCAATAAGACCTTTCTTCATTACTCTGTTTTTTAAAAAAACCTCTCCTCTCTCAATCCCTGTTTATCTTCATTAGGCCGCGTTCCTCAAAGTATGTATCACTATTTACACTAATCATGCTTATATATTTAATGGAAATTTTTGTCATGTAATTGTATTACAAATTACTAGAACAGAGCATTACATTTATTAGGCAGTCAATTAATAAGTATTACACTACTTGAACATAGAAAAGATTACAGATGATATATGTTGACTTTCGGTATCTATATTCATGTCATTTATCTTCACATCCATCACTCTGTTTGAGTTTTACAGTAGACACGTATGGAAGGATCAGCTTTGTTTTCTCTATGGAAATCTAATACCTTTTCCCATAAGGTGTAGGTTCAAGTTGCCATGTCTTAACTTGTAATTGTTGTTTAACATAGAATTATCACCTTTGATTCTAAGGTTCTTTATAGTTTAAGAGTAGATGCCATTCTTGAAAACAACTACTATATCAATGTATAAATTGAAATATTTTCAGATGAACAGATATTCTTTACTTAGGTAGCCAAAAAATACTACTGTCAAATGAAAGATGTTTTCTAATCTGGAATTGGTTCTTGTGAGTTTTACTTATGGTTTTATTTACTTAGTTTATTCATTAACCAGATATTTAAAAATATCTACTATGTGTCAGATACTTGGTTCAGAACTGGAACTATTTTGCATAAGAAATCTACACAGTTTCTGTTCTCAAGGAGATTACGAAGTGGAAATTACAGAGAAATAATAAGTAAGCAAAAATGAATATATAATCACAAAAAGTATCTTATGTCACCAACAACTAAACAGGCTTCAATAATAAGGAGTGAATCTGGAAGCCATTTAAAGAGATCAGAAGAAAGTCTCTGATGAGGTGATTTTAATTCCAACTTAGAAGAATGAAAAAAAATTGGTAGAAGTACGTACAGAAATAGTGTGGTATGAGACAAAGATCATTTTATTCCAGTCCCTTATTTCCAGTGTGTACCACATTAAAAACCATCTTCAAAACCAACCGGTGGAATTGTAATGTTCTTGTTGCAGCTGATGTGCTTTCCTCTTGTGGCTTTTGTTCAGAATCAAATGCCGAGTGAAAGGGGTATCTGTTTTCCAGCAGTCTATCGAATATGCTGCACACTGGAAACTGGAATCAATTGTAAATCTGACAACATAGTGGAATGTTCAGTTAACTTTAAACTGCCTTTGAGAGAACACAAGGGAGTTGTGAATAGTCTAATCACTTTTTCCAGAAGGCACCTGTGATTTTGTTAATTTGCCTCTGAGGAAGTCCATGCAGAGGAAAAGGAGAACATACGGCACTCAGTAGCTGAAGTAGGTAAACTGCTGTTTTGCACTTGTTTTCTCTTTATTCATCATTTTGCAAGAGGAGCTTTAAATCGGTTAGTAAAAAGGAATCTTGAAATGCTTCCTTACATTTTTTTTTCTTGGAATCTATGTGGTCCTGGAACCTATATTGGTATGTGCATAGTTATTTGTAGACCTGCTTTATGCTTCGGAATAAAGCATCAGTATTTAATATCAAATATTTTTAAAAGTTATATATATATATATATATATATATTTACCTATATATATTTGTATTTTAAGCATTTCAAATGCATATACATATGTGTGTGTATATATGTGTGGAGATAATATATAGAGAGAGAGAGAGAGAGGAGGAGAGAAATAATTTATCAAAGTATATATATTTATATATATGTAGAGAGAGAGAATGAGAGAGAGAGAGAAAGAGAGAGGTGGGGGTAGCAGGGGATTGGTCCCAGGGCCTCTTATAGATACCAAAGTTAATAAAGTGGTATAGTATTTTCATATAACCTACACATATCCTCCTATATACTCTAAATCATCTCTAGATTACTTACTTATAATATCTAACATAATGTAAATGCAATAATAGTTTTTATACTATATTGTTAAGGAAATAATGACAAAAACCTCTGTACATTTTGAGTGCAGATGACTAATATTCTCAATTTGTGGTTGTTTGAATCCATAGGTGCAGGACCCAGGATACATAGAGCCAACTGTGTATATTCATGTTCATGTGTGTGTGTATACATATATTCACACACACTATGCACATACACAAATATATATACACACACACATACTTACTTGTATGTATAAAAGTTTTTTAAAAACATTTTGGACAATGACTTTCAATATTCATATGATTTGGGTAAATAAGCTTGTTTTAGTTCTGGAAATATATATTCTGAAAAGGTAATTAAAAGAAGAAAATATTATATATATTAATATTTTCAATAGTTTTTTACTATGAAAAACATTGGAAGCTGTCCAAATGTCCAACAATTTAAAAATGTAAATTTTGTTATTACTTTGTATAATATATCGTCAGACATAAACCAAAACTGTGAAGAATATAAGGCAAACTTGGAAAATATTTAAGCTAAAATGTTAAGTGTTGGAGAAGAAGAGATAATTATATAATTTTGCATTTCCTCATAAGTCACTATTCACTGGATGCTCCATAGAAGCCTCAAATACAACATATGCAGGGCCTCAATTTGCACTTCAAAACCAATCTCCTTTCCATATTCCTTAGCTTGTTGAACTGTATCACTATAAACACCAACTGAGAATGTAAAACCCTCATGTTTGACCTTTATCTTTTCCTCTCTGACAATATCTGTCATCTCTTGTTCTTCATTCCCATAGCTTTTATCCTACTTGGCCTGGTCTTCACCATATCATGACTTGTTACTCAGTGAAGCCATATTAATGTTTCATCTTTCTTCCAATAGCTTCTCCCTTTTCTAACAAAGATATCCCACTAAGATAGATGAAATCATGTCAGTGCTCTGCCTAAAAGTATTGGTGGTCCTTCAGTAAATACAAGAAAACATCTCAACTTGTTTTCATTAAATAAATGCTAATAAATATGAATTTGTATTTTTCCCTTTAGATGAGTAGTGGAGATTTGAAATTCAAAAAAGAGTTTGAAACTTTTGGTAAAATGAATAAAGAGACCACCAAATTACAGCCAGATGTAATACTGAAGGTTCTGGGTGTACATGCAGAAATCTTGGACAGCTTAGTCCACATAACCTCATGTTTGAAAGAGAGAATTATACGATTTTATATATGTGTAAATATTTTTGAGTGAGCATAGATAAAAGCATAAAAGAATATATACCAGAATATTAACATAGGATGTAGAGGAAGATTGTTTCTAATTTATATATACTTGTTGGGTTAATGGTTATGGTAAATGTAGTGATTTATTATGTTATTACATTTATTTAACATGAAATTACTTTTAAGTTGAGCCTTGATTGCAAAAAAAAAAATGTAGCAACACTGGTGATTATTGTTTTATGATTAAATGTTATCAAGAGACACTATTTTGTGCTTTCTAGATTGCAGGTTCAGTTCTTCAGGAGAAGAAACAATAAAAAATTTAGGACACATGCTCTATAGAACAGAGAATGTACTTGACTGGAATATAATTGTAATTTTAGTAGTGTTTTTCTCATATTTAATAGATATCTGAATAGGAAGATTAATAACAAAAATTATAATTGTTTGGAAGTCATCTGTGACTCTGCTAAAGCGAAAAAATAATTTTGAGTAGATTGTTTTTTCTTATCCTTGACATTTGAGACACAAAATTGAGAGATTTTGCCTGCTCAGCATTAGGTGTAGGGAGTTGGATGTAAAAGACTGTGATTTGAAGCGAACAAAATAATCGCAATAACCTTCAGTCCTCCTTGAAAGTGACAGAAAGAGTAAAAGCCTTTTTAGGTTGTACCTAAACTCATACAAACAGAATTCTAACATCTGCTCCTGGGGAGGCTACAAGCAAAAATTGGTTGGGTGCATAGTTGTCATTTGAATCTGCATAGGGATTAAAACATTTAATCAATAGTTATTGAATAAGTAATCCGCACGTGGTCTGCTACAGGAGATATATGCTGCTGGCATATTCTTTTAGAAAGGTTGAGTATTGTCTTTCTCTATCACTTTCAAGAACAATTAAGATTTTAATTAACAGAATCCACTTTATTTGTCAAGAATTTTAATCATTCATTTAGGAAAATTACTCCATTTACCAGTTATTGCTGGGTCTGTTCAGCAAGCATCATGAAGAAAGAAGCAGAAAGTAAAATTACTTTCAGATAGAAGCATTATTCAGCTTCTCTTGATATTCTTACCCTCTAACTTTTCTTTTGCTTTAATGGTTTTTGCTCTTTTGATGGCCTCAAATATCTAGCATAAAGTGTTGAGCATAAAATGTATAATTAATTTGAAAGAAATTTCATTATGACTTTCATTCCATATAATATAATTCAATTCTTACACATTATATCATCCTTGTCTTTTTTAATACCTTGATATTTTTAAAGAACACTAATAGGAATGAACTAAAAGACAAAACTAGTAAGCAGAGGAAAATTTTTTATGGCTGGGAAAATGAATTCTCAAAATTGGTGACTGAATAATAAATCATGTATGTGTTCGAGGTTGTTCATCTAAATGTTTCTCAATTAACACCCACCCATCATATCAGTTTTTTCGTCTCCATGTTCTATTATTTGAATGAGTTGGGATTCAGCAAAGTATCTCTTGCTCAGGGAAGACTTTCCTCTATTCAGCAATCTCAAGTAGGTGAGGGAGCTCTCCTCTTGTCTCCATTGCAACATCTGTGTAACTTCACCAAACCTGTATTGCAATGTGTGGTGATATTGGTTTATGCCCTGTTTTTCTTGCAAAGAGGAATTTAAAATTTTTATCATAGCATGTATAAAGTATTTGTAAATAGAAAATTAGACATCTATGATTTATTTATCACATATTTATCCTTTTATTGATGTTCATTTTGTTTTGCATTTCTGGTATCATTTTCTTACCATCCAAATGCTTCTCTTTACTGTGGTATGTCTTCAGTGTGGGTCTGGCTGACAACGTATTTTCTCAGTTTATGTTTGCATTGGAATGTCTTCAATTTGCTTTTACTTTTAAAGACTATTTTTGGTAACTGTAGAAGGTGAGGCTGGTAGTATTTGTTTTTGTTTTTCCCGAGCACATTAAAAGCATCAACTTACTATCTTTTGGTTTTCATCATTTCTTTTGAAAAGTAAGCTTTCAGTCTTGCTGCTGCCCCTTTGGTTGTAATGTCTTGTTTCTCTCAATATTTTTAAGATTTAAAAACATGCTTTTTTCTTCCTCTCCTTATTCTCCTTGATCAGTTATGTTATGATGTAGCTAAATGAATTTTCTTACATTTATATTGCTTGGAGTTCTTAGAACTTCCTATATTTGTAGATGAGCATATTTTATTATGGAATTTTAGGCCCATTGTCTTCTCAAAAATTGCTTTTGCCCTATTATTTATATATTCTCCTTCTGTGAATAAAATTGCATTTATGGTAGACCTTACAATCTTTGTGTACTGCTCATCCTTTTTCTTTCCTCTTCATGTTTATATTTGGATATATTCCATAAAATCACACAGTCCAACATACTAATCTTATTTTTGGCATTATCCAACTTATTTGGTTCCTAAGCTCAATCACTACAGTTTTAGAATTTCCACTTTATTCTTTTTTATTGATTCTAGTTCTCTGGTAAAACTTTCCATCTTGTCATACATTTTAAAAATGATCTTAATTACAGTTATTTTAAAGTTCATGACTAAAATTTTAACACCTTTGTCACTTATGATTTCTTTTATTGTATTTCCTTTTAGTTTTATTCTTAGGTATGCTTGTCAACCTTGGGTTAAATTAATAGACACCTTTATAAAAACTGGAATATACTTTGAATAATGTTATCTTCCTGCAGAGATGATTTACCATGTTCTCCAGCAGGAAGCAGAGGAGCAGATACTTCAACTCAATCAGAGACTGAATTGATTGTAGACTAAATTGATTGTAGTCTGAATTGACGCTGGCTGAGTTACAATCTATATTAGTTGGTTCTTATGTTCCTGTACCCGAGATTGAGTAATTTACAAAGAAAAGAGGTTTGACTGACTCACAATTCTGCCTGGCTGAGAGGCCTCAGGAAACTTACAGTCATGGCTGAAGGCACCTCTTCACAGGGCAGCAGGGAAGAGAATGAGTAGTGCTAAGCAAAGAGGGAAAAGCCCCTTATAAAACCATCAGATCTCATGAGAACTCACTCATTATCATGAGAACAGCATGGGGGATCCACTCTCATGATCTGATAACCTCCATGAGGTCTCTCCCCCAACATATGGGAATTACAATTCAGATTACAATTCAAGATGAGATTTGGGTAAGGACACAGAGCCAGAATATATGACAATCTTTATAATGATTATTCTCTAATTTTTCCACTCCTAGCTTATAGCTCTGAAAGGTTTCAAACTGAGAGTTGGAAATTTCTTAAGATAGACTCTCATTGCTGGGACCTGAAACACAACTTTTGATTCCCAAGCTATGCAGCATGACAGTTGTGCTTTGATTTTTAGTTACCTTAGCCCTTTTTATCCTCTTATTTCATAAGCGTCTTTTGGGGAAAACCATATCCAGTGTTGAGCTTACTTCTCTGAGTCTACCTTCTCTCTGGATTTTAATCACTTCGAATCCAGGCTCTCACAGCACCATAGATTTTCTTTTCTTTTTTTTTTTTTTTATCTTTCTGGCTGTGTGAATTACTGATAACTCTGTGATATATTCTAATCTTAGTAACTTGTTGTCTAACTCTTGATCTCATGCTACCTTCCAATAATTAACCATTGTCCTGAGGGGAAAGATGAGGCAAAAAATCGAGATCATCGCAGTAAGCTTCATCTTAAGCCACAGCTGCGTTATCAATTTCTAATGCATTTCCACAAAATTTGTAAAATTTTAATGGCTTTTCTGCTTTTTCTTTTTGGGAATGTTAGCTGGGTACAAACTATTCCATCATTACCACAATGCAAGCTGACATTCTGTATCATTTTTAATGTAAAATGTAGTCATTTATATATTTCTTATTATTTCACTAGTCTCATGTGTTTAATAAATTGATAAGCTGTATTTTTCTTTGATCGTCAGTCTCTTGTTCAATGCCTGTCAAACCAGAGCAGCTGACCTTATGGTACTCTCTCTTACTACCTTGCCTTTGTAGGCAGCTCTCTCCTGTCTAGTCTAGCTACAATAATTTAGTCATTCTCTTTTTATAATTTTTTTTTTGAAATTTTGATAATTTCTAGTTTCAACAAGCTATCAATTACATTGAAAAATTTACCTTGTTGACACATAAAACAATGTTTTTAAAAAATGTTTTCATTACAAAGGAACTTGTTTTATTCTATGTGTCCTCATTATCTCTAATTTTGTCATTTTTTTCACATATTCGGTCCATTATGCTGATAAAACGAAATAAACAAAGACCAAAGAAAAAAGTATGTGTCTCTAATTTTGCCAAAAGAACTGTATCAGACTTAGTGTGAAGTTAGAGAGCATGGATTATCCACAGCCCCCCCAGTGAAACTGTATTGATGGAATCTTCATTTCTGATGCAGAGCTGGAAGTTAGAGTCATTTGTTTAGTATTTCACACTTCTTGATTTTCAGTACGTACAATATTTGAAAAAGAAAACCTCCTTTCTCTGGGACTCTAGCTTAAGCAATATAAAGTAAGATCAGCAGAGCTAAGGCTGATTCATATAAGCCATAGTATTTTATACCACAAGTAAAAAATGGCTAAAAATACTCAAGCACAAGTATCAAGTACAATTGTAAGTATCAACATTAAGGCCTTGATCTAGATTCTCTTTATCCCATCAGCAGTTTATTTCCTGGTATTGTATACTTGTGTATCTGAAATGGTTCTCTTCCCTGTCCCTGATGCTCATTTTGTTCTCTCTTTTCATCCTTCTCTAACTTCTGTCCATCTCTCCGGCCAGTCCAACTCTATTTTGCTGATTGCATGCCTTGAATGTCTCTTAATGGAGGGCTATCCGTGTATGTGACCAACGTTTCTCATTGAGATACATGATTCTAGTTTAAGGAAGACATTAGTTTGAGCTTTCTTAATCCTACCTTTTTTTTTTTTTTTCCTTTCTTAAACTTATCTACCTAATGTGGGGTTTGCTGAAACCACTCCAAATACCTGAAATGTTTTTGAAAAATGTATTTCTAATAATTTGTCATGTAGAATGAGAAATGGGGAGGTAGTAGGGGAAGGTTTTAGTCCTGGAAATCTCAATATAGAATTAAAACTTAATCTGGAAATATATTTCTCATTACATAACTATGCTAAAGCTCTTTCTCTCTGAATGTCAAAAAGAGTAAACTCAGTAGAAGAATGGAGATGGAAAAACAGGGACTCCTATGGTGCAACAGCAGATATTGTGGTCTAAGATCAAATAAATAAAGACATAAAGTATCTGATGCTGTCCTCTGTTTGAAAACAAAAATAATGTTTAGCAAAGAGTAGTGAGGAAAAAAAAGCACCAGAGACAGAAACAAGATGATCGAAACTACATTAGTGACCAGGGTATAGAAAACAGGCAATCAAGTATACAAAGGGGAGTTTGAGATTGCAGAAGAGCGTTATAACCTCATTCTGTTATTCCTAGAAGCCTATTGAACTGAGAGCATATTCCTTGATAAAATCATGTCAACTGTTAAATAAATAAACAAATTGAAAATATAATACCATCAGCATAATCCACTTCTTTAATAAATGCCATTGGACCTTAGCCAATTAAGTCTAATTGCTGAAGGTAGTTAAGGAAATGCTGAGTATTACATTTATTTCAGCAGCTCCTCAATTCCATGAATACTGAATAAACTACGCAAGATTTTCCATGCTATTATGTGTGGGAAGAATCTAGAGGTAGTATGAGAAACATGCCAATATTTAAAAATGGGTGGCTTGATACTGGTAAGAAATTATGGAGCACCAACATTTTAGTTACCATTTCAAATAGAAATATATGTGTTATAGAAAAGAAAAAAATGTTTGTAATATAATACGTTTTCTCTAAATATCTATTTATTTAAAATGTGAATTTTATTTCTTCTCTGATATATTTATTTTGGTTTCCAAAATTGAAGATAATATAAAATAAGGCAATTAGCAATGCAACTAGAAAAGAGACCAACTAAAGCTTTTTTTTTTACATGGGGTCTTGCTATGTTGCTCAGGTTGGAGTGTAGCAGTTTTTCATAGGTTTTGCCATAGTGCAATATAGATTTGAACTCCTAGACTCAAGTGATTCTCCTACTTCTGCCTCCCAAGTAGCTGGGACTACAGGTGTGCACCACTATACTTGGCTCTAAATTTCTATTTCTTAATGAAGGGTAGTTATATAATCCTTTGAGAATCTTATTAAAGTTTTGGACCTTTTTTGAGAATATATATATATATATATATATATATAATAAAACTTTAATATTATATATATATATAATATTTAATCTTATTAAAGTTTTGGACTATTTTTAGACCTTTCTCAAAAACAGTCCAAAACTTTAATAAGTTTTAGTGAAATCCCTGA